GACCTAGTCCTTTTGGCTCCTTCCGTTCTCAAATAAGCATTTAATTATACAGCATCTAGGAAAATAACTTTGTAATGTATACTTTGTTTAGGCCCATATAACCAAAATCCAGGGGAAGTAGTTAACAGCACAAGCAGTTAACTACTTGTTAAAGTAGTTAACACTGTTGGCACCTACGTAACTTGAACAGGAATTCAAATCAAATTAAATAGCGCAGAAAAATGAGTGTGGGAAGATCACCCTTGTGGCTGTGTGGTCTGGCAGCTCATTCATTACTAGGTCATACTCTACGTCCTAAATCCAATTTCTGCAAAGAGAAAAGCCTCTAATTACACAATATAAATGGTGGAAAATCTTGCAAAACTGGTAAGACCTCAGGTTTGCTGTGCTTATAGAGCTCTTTTCCCCTAGGTGTTTAGTGATTTCCAATCAAGTACCACGTAGTATACATATTGCCAGTATACTAATTGCCATTTTCTCTGATAACATGCTTAGCTAGTCTTATCTGCCACCCACATCTCATTATTATTTGAGAAATGCTGATTTTTGCATAAAAAAAAACTGACAAGATTTCAGTGCATGGCATTTATTCATTGAACATCACTTCATAGCACATCATGCTCAGAATGCAGGGACTTTTTTTTTTTAAACACAAATTTTTCATTTTGCACTCATATATAAACGAAGATTTCTTTCCCCTAGGTATCCTTGAGTGTTTCTAATTAGTTTTTTTTTTTTTTTTGCGGGGGGGGGGGGTACAAGAAAGGTACATGCTGTCATTAATCATTTGAATTTACTTTTCTTTAGCAGGTACAACCCTGAGAAACCTGAAGAAGTTATGTCTGAAAAAATAATCACTGAAAGATGCTCAGTTCTCATCAATTGCAAAGTTCATTAAAGCGTTCTTTTAAATCACCTGTTTAAAGGGCTCACACTTTACTTACTGCACTGTGCCGTTCTGCAGTCATGTTTTATTACTTCCTGTACAGTATATGGCATCAGTTTGATACTTCAAAAATTTTATGACTCTGTATTATGGTAGGTATGATTTTAAAAGAATTTCTTCAATTTTACTGTAAAGGTTATGTCCTTAGATATCTAATGTATTTTGATAGAAAAGTGGATTTTTTTACATGATTCCAAATCACACCTTATTAAAATTCAGTAGTAGCTATCACAATGCATTAAAAAAAAAAAAAACTCCACTCTCTTATTTGAGCCAAGGAAAAGGCAGAATTCAGGTAGCCCTCCTTACGCATACAATTGGTAGTACAAACCTTAGTGATGTTAACTGATATCATTTTCTCCACAGGATCCTAAAGCATAAATGAACTACTGTTCATCAGGTCCTGAGGTCCCATCTTAACATCCCGCCCCCAATTCCTTTACCTGGCCTTGCCACTCCTCTGTTCCCCAATCACGCATGCAAGTCTCCTCAGATCTTATGGCACTTTCCCATCTCCTACAGTTTCCTCCTGCCTCTGCTGAATACAGTTCTCTTGCTGCAGTGTCCTTACATACCACTGCTGCCTGTGAGAGCTATAGCAAGAAAATCTGGAACAACTCCTATTAGAGATTCCCCCAGCTCCTCCCCTACCCATCAGTCCTCACTTCAAACAGGCAGCTCTTTCACACACTTATAAAGTGCATAATCCAATCAGCCAAAGTAAGTAACGTTCTAAAACTGAAGGCTCTTTCCATTCTTTAGATGGTCTTTAAGCATTAAGATATCTACATCATTACTCTTCCTTTCACTGCACTCATTTTTAGCTGTGCTTGACACAGTAAACAGCAGAAGGCTGCTCAAACTGCTAAAGAAACGAGCATTACCCACATTCAGCTCCTGTACACAAATGAGTTCGAGCCTTGTGCTTTGGGTTTGCTGCTCATCTTTCAGCCGCGTTCAGGTATGAGCAAACCTTTTCTATGGCACTGACAAATCATGCATCTGCATTCCCTCTTCATTTACTACCTCAGCAGAATATTTGTTCATTTCTTCTCCTTGCATAAGTCTTCTTTTACCTTCCTGTATTTTGGAAAGCACATGGATCTCTCAAATGATCTTTTCTCCACCTTCTTGATGACAAAGCCTTCTGAATGATAATGCATTCTGTTACTAAATACACTAAATTAACTCATTCTGCTTTGATTAGCTGTCAAAATTTGGCAGGAAGAGAACCAGACCCAATGGTTAAAGTGGGAGATTAAAAAAAAACAAAACAAAAAAATAGAGAGTCCATAGCTCAATTATCTTAAATGACTATGGTTCATTTAGGTGCCCTTAGTATATAGTATTAAAAAAAACTTTAGAAAAATTACTTCCATTGCAATGTATTTCAGAGTAGATTTCAAACAATGCTCCAATGTACTGATTTAAGCCTAAATTAAATCTAAATTAAACATAATTAAAGATAAGAAATACTTATATGCAAGAAAGAATACCTGTTTTGGGAAAAAGATGTTATATTAATTGTTGTATCACTCTGGTTGTTCCAAATCTAGCTGAACACTTAATTTTCTACAAGCTGTATTAAGATTGTCCCATGTGGATGGGTAATTCAAAGACTTTGTTGATAGTAATTCTGGAATCAGGCTCTTTATATTTTTCATTGTACTGAATGTACTGCAGTACGCTTTTTATCTTAGCTCATTTGCAGAGCACTAAGCGACATTCAGAAGAATAAAACTTTACATCACAAAGACTCATTTTTGTTTTTATATTTAGTGACTTTTTGTGGGAGAATACAGACGTTTGATAGGAACGTGGAAGTCACAGCTCTAACCACATTCTCAACAGGTCATCGCGAGGGTGTTTTATCTGTCTCCTTATTAATGTTTAAATATTACTCAAATAGTATTGCATAGTATGTGAGCTCACTTCCGAACACAGCAAAAAGGTTGCTCAAGCCATTTCCCCTCAGGCTACCTCAATTCTCTTCTTCAGTACAGAGTCTGTTCTCTACTCTAGCCTTCTTTTAGCCTTCCTTTTCCACTCTTCTGGACCCAGCTAACATGCTACCTATCTTAATGGAATAACAAAGGGAATTGCTTTTCATTTTTTTGCAGGGATGTTTTACTTATTTATCTACTGCAGGAAAAGAATGCTAGCAGAGTGGATTCAACTCCACACCTGCCATGACACTAAAATGTCCCACCATATTACTTTAAACCTCCAAATCCAGGCCTATTTCTTTTCTGTGTAAAGGACTGAGAGAGCAGGAGCAGAAAAGCTCAACTGTGAGAGGACAAAGAAGCACTGGAGAGGACACAGAACAACACTGTACAGGCAGGAAGGCTAACACCGCAACCATCACAGCTGTGCTAATCCTAACTCTACACCTTGACAATAAGTGCACAGAGCCAGCAAAGGGGAAGACTGGAAAAAAAAATGTAGGGCCAGATTCTGTGGTGCATATACAACACAAGCATACATTTCCCACAAAAACATATTTGAAGACAGAGTAAAGAAGAATCATTTCCAATTGCTGCAGAAATAAAACTGCTTAGAATACAGATCCCCTCGCCCCTTCGGGGTTTTTTTTGTTTGTCTTTTTTTTTTTTTTTAAATCAGCAGCTCCCTTTATTTACTTGAATTAAATACTAATATGTAATTTGGAATGGGGCTATGTTTATTTAGTCTATCCTAAACACTACATAAATGCATAATATTACATTGCTGTTAGCTGCCCAATACATTTAGGTAACTGTGACCAAGAGAGTTCTCTGCCTTCTATTTCAGCTTACAGAGACATTTTTTTAGTGTGCCCCTGTTACGATCAGCCATACCTTTGTCTTTTTGACAGCAACTATAATATAATCTACCCACAGCTACGTGTTGAAGTCACTTGGAAGCTAAAGAAAAATATAGCTGCCTAAAAAAAAAAATAAATAAATCACAATTTCTACAAAATCTGTCAATCTTGGAGATCATCCTGCTTCATCAAGCCATGGTAGGATCATAAAGAACTTTAAAAGGAAGCTAATCAAATCTGGGAGTAGCAAAACTGTGACTACTGGGTATAGGGGTGAAAGAATTATAAACCTCAGGTGTAGAAACACCTACAAATTTAGTGTTTGTTCTTTGGCTCTTGGTTGCTTTTTAAATTATTCTCAAGGGCTTTGTTGCATATATGACACAAAAGCAAAATCAAAAATACTGATTAAAGCAGTCAAAGACTTTATGTGCATTTCTAAACCAAAATCTAGTTCTCTCAGTTTTGTTCGTTTGGAGGCAGACGGAAGAGAGGAGGAAGATCTTCAAATTTGTTGTTATAAAAAAGGTCTACCACAGTATATAAAATATTCTATCAAATGGTACTTAAAGCTTTCTTTCCTCTCATTTACTGTAACAGAAAACAATAAAATTATATACTCTCACATTTAGCTACACTAGCATGGCTTCTGCTGAAGTCAATGAGCACCACAAGAGCAAGAACTGATTTATCAGAATAAAAATAATCCTTCATGTAGGAAATAATTAATAGATTTTTTTGGAGTTCTACACAGACCTTTTTTTTTTCTTTTTTAAATCAATGAAGTTCAGCAGTGGATTATCATTCCATTGTTTTCCTGCATCATGGGACAGTGCTCCTTTAACATATTGCACAACTAATATTTTGCTTGTTCCATTTGGAAAATGCTTTGTGAAAAACTCAAGAACCAAAATTTCTTTTGTAACGATTCTCTGAAATGTCCTATTAACCATAATTTCCATTTTTTGACCAATAAATTTGCTTTCAATTCTAAGCATTAATACAAATAACAAAAACAAGTTGTACATAAGTTGACACCATACCTGGCAAGCTTCCACTTCCTTTTCATGGTTATGACAGATTAAAAACACACAGCCAAGAAAGAAGATGCAAATTCTCCTTGGACCAGGTAGTGATCTTAAGCATAGTAAAGAATAACTCTTATTTGAGTAAATTTCTTCTCAGAAAGAATTTAATAATAATGAGAGAAAACACACAGAAAACCTAAGAGAAAGGCATGACACTTACCTATCAGCCAGTGCGCTCAGGTCTATTTATCTTCCAAACTATCATTGGTTCTCCTATTTTCCGGGCAAACGGTCTACACAATAGATTACTTCACAAAACATTTCATCGCAGAGCATACCCTGAAACAAAATGGCCAGAGCTATATTTTGTGAGGAGCAGATCTTGTCTATGTTTATGAGGTATAACAGTTGGCCCTGCAGAGAATTCAGGAGATTCATCTGGTTGCTGGATTCTGTTAGAGCCTAAGTAAATGCTGGAACTATTATCAATACCGCCAGAGAGAGATCTTTAAACAGCAAGGCAGCTGAAAACTTTAAAATTCTCCTGAGCCCAGGCAACTATGAGTTTGGGATTTCTGATTAACAGTTTTGGACTCAAACAGAGTCTGCCTAAAACAGACCTCAAGAATAACTAAAGGACCTAAATCCTTTACTAGATCTAGCTTTCAGTCTCATCTGTTGCCAATAAAATTTAGATTAAGTGAGTCAAACTTTGCAGAGGTGAATAAATACCCTTAAGAATAAGAGTCTATGCAGCTTTTTAATAAGCAATAAATATGCAGTAGAGATGGTGTATATACAGTGCTCCTCTTCTAATAAAAAATATATTGCCATCCTCTCACCTTTTCACTGGCTTTAGTGGTCCGGCTGGGTCTGACCGGTTTTAAGTGGCAAGCTTTATTTTAATCACTCATCCTTTCATCAACATAGGCTTATTTAAAAAACCTAACCAAAACCAGAAAAACAGTGCAAGGGTGGGCGTGGGGTTGCGTGAGTGGGGTATAGCCTAAATAGTGTTTCTATTTATTTATTTGAAATGCTGCAGATTAACTTATTTGAGCTCTTTATTACACATCCCAGTCTAATTCCATCCGTGTACCATTTCAATTACATCTTCCCTTTGCATGGTAACGTGCATGGGAAAGTATTTGCTTCCATGGTAAATATATGATGGCATACATAATCCAAAATAGCATGGCGAGGCCCCTCACACAATGCCTGGCACTAGAAATGTGCTAGACTCTTCCCCAAAAGGAAGCTCCAGTGTTTGGAAGCGATGCCCATCGCAGTTAATGTATGTCATCATTATCTTTCCTAAGCAGTCGCTGCAGATTTAGTAAGGACAATGATGTGTATCTTCTGTCATTGTTCCTTCCCCATTTACAGAACAGTTTTGACAGACTTTACAAGAAAGGTCAAATTATGTCCCCAAATGGAGTCCATGGAGTTTTCATACGGAAAATGGAAAAGATTTAGGACTCAACTATTTTCCTCCTTGATGATAGTATAGTAGCAATGGTAATGGAAAAGATATGAGCAGTAGTACTTAAGAAAAGATAACTATTCCAGGATCTGTCTCAGGCTGATAAGCTGGATCATTTTCCTTTTGATTCTCATCGTATTTTATTTCATTTTTTTCCTCCTGATGAATCTAGCAGGAACAAAGTAAAGCCAGCCCAACAGCCCCACACACTGCACTCTGATTCCCTTACATTCAAGAGTGTTACCAAAGAGAACCTAACGTTCAGTCTCAGAAACAGCATTCGCGTCTGATGTTCAATTGCTGAACATCGTCTCTTTTACATCTTCAATTTCAAAATGCTACATCAAAAAAAATTTTTTTGCTCAGACTCGCCATGAATTGCTCGTGTTATAGAATGGGGCTGCTGAAAAGGAAAATCTGACTTTAAATTAAATTAATTAAAGTAAAACTAAATTAATAAAGCAAAAGCTGAATTTTTTGAAACACCAAACACAAAAAATGATAAGTTCCTCAAGTTTCACCTGAATACTGTCTTTCTGCTAATTTTAAGTTACAGCTGAGCAAATTTAACAGGAGAGCAAAAAAATCTTGGAATGACATTATATTAATGGTAAAACAGATCAGATCCTGTAAAAATAAATAAATAAATAAATAAATAAAATGTAATGAGACTGCAAAGAAACAAACTGGTAAAATAATAAGAGGTCACACCTCTCATGACTTCTAAAGGTCCATGGCAAAGAGGTATTCTGATATTAACAAACTGATTTCAGAATAAGATATCCTGAAATTTTACCTGTGCATTTTGGACCAAAATGTTGGTTTCAGTTCATTTTCTAAGAATGCACAAACCATACCCCAAAAAGAAAATTTAGGACGCTTGTTAGAAGGAAAACATATTCCTGATCGGTTAAGGCCTACGCTTCCAAGGAAACTGGAAGAAACTTTATTTTATTCTCCTGTTTAAAACTAGCCTAATACAGCAATAGTAAATATTCTCCAGGAAACAGACTTGCAGTTACACACAACCTAATGCAACATTTTCATGAAATAGAAAAAGTTGTTTACACTTCCAATTACTGTTATCTTCAAGTTGTCTTCTGAGGAGAACAGGCTTTCAAAGAATGTTAAACTTCCTAATCCATGTACTGTTTTCAACTTCTAGTGCTATATTCTGTTAACCGTGGCTGTTCCTTTTCGAGTTGTGTTCTCATATATTTCGCCTCCAGTTAATCCACCGATAATCTCTGGACTGACTAAGGCTACAAGACTACAGAACAATTTCAAACCACCAAGAACCATAGTCAAAGGGATACAGGTCAGGAAGAAAGAGCAATCATAAATTCTAGTCTTCCCCTTCTACCCCTACCATTCACAGGCTTCCATCTAGGAGACTCAGAAGAGTTCAACAGAAGATTTCATTCATGAGTCTTACCATAAAATATGGTCTTTAATAGAAGCAGCTCAAAGCTGTGCTGTCCCAAACGAAAATAAGAGGAGGCAGTAAAGGAATGCCCTGCTAATGCAAAAGCTATGAATCCATTCAGTGGCTTGTCTGGTAATCGTAGGAAATGGAACTTGACCCCAAATCATGGAAACAGATACGCTAAGGCTTTGTTTTGACTTCAGAATATGAAAATTTTAGTAACTGTTAATAGCGATCATTAATTTTTCCTCTCACTACTGTAACATCTGAGGTGGTTTTTTTACTTTCTTTTTCACAGTTTTGTCAAATAACCACATGCTTTCTCTTCTCTTTCTTAACTTTAGACATTTTGCATGATGCTGTGGTAGCTGTCTGACCTGGAGAGTTGGGATAAAGGATGACAAAAAACTAGCACTGCCTGGAGACCTGCCTCTTTGTGACAAGGACATTACGCATCACAGCATGGAGAAGAGTGACCCTAGGAGGATACTGTATGCCTTCAACTCCCATCAGCTCCCAGAGAGTATAGCATGTCACAGCTTTGGGCCTAAAATGATTTCAATCCCGTCTCAGCATATCCCCCATTAACGAGCCTTACCAGACATAGAGAAATGGGATTATCAGCCTTACAGGAGAAAAATGCTACACAGAGTACCATTGCATAAAATCTTCTCCTTTAAATCAAAGCATAGTTCATAACTGACAGCTTTATAAAACGTTAGCATGTCTCACTTTTATAGTTTTTATGAAATATACATTTATTTTAATGACTGAATCATTCCACTGCTTTCATATGCTGTGCCAGGTAATGTAAGTTTGCATCAATTTCACAGACACCTCTTCATCTCTCTCTCTCTCTTTTTTTTTTTTTTTTTCCCCCAGAGACTTCACAGAACTCCCTGTGAAGGAAGAACAGTCATGACTGCTAGAAAGTCCTTCCTCTCTACTTTTTCAAGGTGACTTTAGTATGGTGACTTTAGAATCACGTTGCCATCTTAATTAAAGCTATATTTTCATTTGTTTGCATTTCACTTAAGTAACTAGCCAGTGCTAAAAATCTTTCAAATTACAGTATTTTAAACACATACTCCTCCTCTCTTTTCCTGAAAGTCAGAATGCCAGTAAAGATGAATGGTGGCAGTCAATATTTCAGTCATGAGCAACGGATGAAGTAGATTGCAATGCTTACTTATTCTTCAGACAAAAAAAACAGAATACATATAATTTACGAAGCATCACCTGCAAGATAGTCAAATATTTATTTCCAGTGTTTTGGTTACCTGAGCTTTACAGAAGGATATTATAAGACTGAAGCAAATGGTTTAAATAACCTTTGGTTTTTCAATTCCATAAACATTCATTCTGTCTCTACATATATAAATTCTACAAATTTATGATGAATTCATGGGGCAACAATTTTTTCAGGTCACTCCACTAGTAATTACAACTAATTAAAATGTGCCAAAGAAAGGATAGAAATTTATCACTGCTCATTAAACCTGTAAAGACTGTGTTAATTAGATGTCAGACTCAGTAATTCACATAAATGTTTGCTGCCAGTCTAAATTTAGTGAAAAACTAAATGCAGCTATAGACACTGCTGCAAGGAAGGAGATAGGTACTACTGAATTGGAAGGGTTAAAATATTCTGTACTACAAATTTCATTATTTACCTATGCCCTTTCTACATTGAAAATTTCATGCACCAACTGTCCGTGGCTATCTTCTCCCAAACCTAAATACCTCTGTGATGAAATGAAAACGTAATGTCACACCATAACTTGCAGAGCATTATATTTTCAAGTGTTCCCTACATGTATTATCACACATTAATTTACAAGAGTTAATTAAAAATCAATATTTACCGAGTTATCATACTATAGCATCATTTATGTTGTTACTAAAGAACATTGTATTTATACTGCTTTATCACCCACAGCAACCAGGAAAAGGTTGCACTGCGTTCATCAAAATTTATAGCCAAAATCTCTAATACTTCTACTGAGTCCACTCACAGGACATCTCATAGAGGTCAAATAACTTTAGTATGAGGCACTATATATATTAATTTGAAAGTAAGTCTTCCATTCAAGAGATAACTGTAAGTGAGAAAGTAGTAACATAAATTGCATCCTTTATAGATTAGCTGTACATACAGCTTATAATTACGACTTCACTAGACTCTTCCTAGGGCCTTTCATCATGGAGAAGATGAATTTCTGGTGATACTGATTGAGAATTTTCAGCTGTGTGTTTATGGGGGGGGGGGGGGGGTGGAGCGCGAGGCACGCAAGCCCAGAATTCAAACACTATGAATAATTAAACAACATGCTATAATTCAAATGGTGAGTAATATATAAATCATTGCATACTTTAATCATATTGATGTCTGACTACATTGGTGTTTTCTGAGAGATATTCATTGAAATC